TGGATCTAGAATCTCTTACAGTGGTTGCCTTGAGCTAGTCTTTTGAGAATGTCTACCCTTCTCTTCTTCATCTCCCTTCAGCATTAGCTAAGATCAGTAGGTCCCATTGTCAAGTTCTTATTGCACCATGTTTGTCTGATCAACCATGTTTCTATTTCAGAAAGATCTTCTTAGTCAGCCTCTAGAAAGTTTACCTTCCACGATGGTGTTCGTCATGTACAGCTTCACAGCTGGATGTTATGTGGTCCTTTGTTTGTGATGCTGGATTCTTTTTTTTGGGTAATGTGTATGTTGTCACATTATTGCAAGCATTGCTCCCTTGCAGCTTACCACTGTCATTGGTCTATCTTTTGTGGTTGGTGCCTGCAGACTTTGTTTTTGTTGTCTTTTGCCAATTCCTTTTTTTTCATGTATTTATTTTATGATCAACACTTGTTTTCTTCTTCTGTCACAGATTCTCCACTACTTTCCATTGCTATTAAGTCATATGCCTTTCTTATCCTCACTTTTTCTGGATCTTTTCCAAGCTTTTTGTTTATGCAATTGATGAGTTCCTAGACATTTTCTTCAGTGGAATTTAAGTCTGACCTTAGGTCACTTGACAACATCTTCTTTGAAACTTTTGGTATTGTATATGCTATAGCATCTTTCTCTAAAGAAATATTTTCTGTTGTTACTCACTTTAGGGAGGAGATGAACAAACATTTTCTATTGATACATCTTGTACTCGGTTATATATGTGTATTCTAATAGGGTCTTTCTACATAATACATTTTTGGTTTACATTTCATCAAATTTGTTGCCTTTTGGCTGTGTCTTAAGTCTCTGTCTTGTTACCCTTCAGAGGATATCTTGCAGGACAACATATGGATAAATCAACACTTTTTAGTTATTTCATCTTATTTACAGTATTTAAAGAAATACTGTTGTAATAAAGATACTCATTTGACAGCAAACATTTTGTGGGTCACATTGCTGTCTCTTAAGCCTCAAAATTCTATTTAATCGGGTTGAGTGCATCCTTGTGGTTGGTATGTTTGACTGTGAATCTGAAGGCCTGTGTTTTGCATCCTGTTACTGCCCAAAAAAACTCCACACTTTAGGGCTGTGAGCAAATCATAAGAGTGACTGTAGAAATCCTAGTATTCAATTAGAGTAGCCCATGAGTTAATGGTGGATAGTGTTGACTAGCTGATTTCTTTCAAGTCTATCACTTTAAAATTGTCAATAGCTAGTACAGATAACCCTGTTGTAGCTTTGTGTGAAATACAATAATTAACAACCTCTATGGTTGTTCTCGACACAATTCCACTCTCTGCACTGGGGGCCCATGAGAGGATATTACTTTTTGGAAGTGGTCTGGGGCTGCCATCTGGTGGCTGATAATATTTAATTGGGTATTTTTCTAACATCCAAGTGCACATTCTTGTATGACGTTAGAGTTATTGGAAATTGGTCTCCTGTTATCACCAAAATACATTAAAAACAACAAAACCTATATTATTTACATGGTTTTGGAGTGCCCTCAAAGCTCATCAGTGTCATCTGCTGAACAAGGAACAGCACACAAGATTGTTCACCCCAAGCAACAAAAAAAAAGTTCAATTTCTATAGTGTGAAATAGAAATTATACACTTTTTGTAAAGTTTTGCAACTAACTTGGACATCAATACCTTGCAACATAGTCAACAGTTGCTTGTAAATGATACTAATATAATACTTTAATGAGAGAACAGAATACTAAAAAGGTGTTACACAGGTTCTTGAGAAAAACAAATTTAACATTTCTTTAATGTAATTGTGCTTCATTTATTTCATTTTGTACCATTTTGATTTCAGGACAGAAAAAAATCTACCATGAAAGTGGGAAAAACCTCCCATCTTATACTCGCCTCCCTACACAGTTTTCCACTTTAGGGAAACTTGACCACTATCATGTATGAATCAGTTGCATGAAAAGTAGGAGAGTTTAAAATTATGGGTGACACACAGACTACAAATGTGTAAATGGTACTTGGAAATTTGGGTCACATATGTTGTTGACAGCATGATTTTATACAAATCAAAGAAAGACTTTCAGTATTTTGAAGATAAATACCTGTTTGAAATTCATTTTAATTTTAAAAATGTAAGAATAAACAAATGTGTTCATTGTGACACTTCTCTATATGTCTATATTAATCAGCAGGCTGTTTATATCTTAATCATAATAATTAGTTAAATCAACCAAACACCAACCAGAATTAGTGTTTTATGTTTGCATCTTTGAATTTTGTGGGGGGGATTCTTTCTCTGACCATTTACTAACCTGTGAAAGCAGTTAAGTGGCTTGACGTAATGCTTAATTTTTCTAATGAAATCAAATTTGTATTCCTTTGAATAGATTTTTGTTAACTGAGGTGAGAAAATAATTGTGGTTTTGTTTATATAACATTAAAATTGATGTAACGAAATGCATTTTGTAAACTTTTCCATTACTTTTTGTAGTAGAAATTTAATCATGAGCTCTTGTATTTATCACATTGAACATTTACAGCATTAAACATTTGATATAAACAAAAGTCACTATTTTATGTGGGAAAGGCATTTTGACATAAAAACATTTACTGGTGGAGTGTGAGAACTAACAGACATCAAGACAGAGTTTGCATTCTTGGATCTCTTATTTCTGTCATTAGGATTCTTAACTACTTAGTGAGAATATAAGCAACCAGATTAAGGAAAGTTATTCAATGAATCTGATATGCACAGGCATGTGGAGTTAACAGAATTAACATCTCAAGTTTAGTGTTAAGGAACTTAATATAAAATTTGGTCAAAATTAATTACACTTACCCAGAGTTCAGTGTTTCTCTTGTAACCAATTTTAATTAGGAATGCTGCAATTTTTTTTTTCTCGGGTGCCTAAGTGTTTTCAACAATTAGCTCAAGTGAGAAATGGAGTAACCCATATTTGTACACTCTTTGAACTCTTTCAATGTCCATTTGCAGCAATCAGAAATAGAAAAATTGATTATACTGTTGTTTAATTCTCCTTAAATAAGGTGTATTTAATTATTAAAAGGCATGCACCTAAGCTTAATTGATCCAATTTTCTACCTAAAAGTTGTCTTTATGTAAACTGCTATTTAAAAAAGTTAATTTTATGTGCAAGTTATACACATTTTTAATATACATATGCTTTAAATACCTCCTTTATAAATCAGCACTTCGTCCACTTTTAACTGAAATTGGATTATCCATTATCATACTGAATGCATTCTAATCTTTATAAGTAAGAACATAATACATTTCACCACTGTGGTATCCATACCTTGAACAATTTTTTCAACCATAAACCCAATAATACAAAATTTCCCACACTGTGGCATACCCCTGGGGGAGGACGAGTGATCAGGGTAGATTCAATAGCGTAATCATGCAAAATTGTTTTAATATATTTCTATGAAGGAAAATAATAAGTAATTACATATAACATTTTAATGTGTATCCACGTATTAGATCTTGTCACTTAACTCACTTTTTCACTCGTTTAAAAAAGGGGGGCACACAAGAAACCATATTTATTAAAGGGAGGCATGGATGACAGAAGTTTAGGAAATGCTACAATAATATATCACAAGGCTTGGCCAGCTTTAAGAGAATTAGGTTAGTCCTGAATTCATATACTAAGCTAACAAAGTAACCTATCTACATAATAATACCCTTGTTTGTGTGTCTGTTATGGAAATTACGTGTGTGTGCATGCATATTTAGATAGCAAGGTGCATGTGCATTATCATGACAGACAAAAACTGAGTATTATTATAATTAACTAGGAGGAACCCTCAAGACATTTGCACTCAGATTAGTTCTTTATTGCAACAACAATTCTTTAAATGCAGGATTTTTAGAATAATACAGAAGAATTCTAATCACAGACACTGAAATCTTGTCATACTATTATTCTGCTGTCAGTATGCCTTATAATCATGCACAGTGAGAATTTTACCCAGTGAAACAGTGCTAGTACCTGCCTCTGCCAACTAACGAGTCACTACAACTGCTCTATGAATAAAGGAATAACAAAAAAGGTGGATATAAATATTCTTTATTAATTATTTAGTTCAATATCATCAATAGCTTGAAGTTTTCAAAAAGGTCTGATGTTAGATCCTAGAATAACATTATAAGTTTACTTATAGATAGTATTATGAACAGTATAGTTTAGTCCTAACTAAGCTAATGTAAAAAAGCGTATAAGGTATAGTGTTGATTTATCTCTCTAACGAACCTTGGCCTAACATTAGTTAAGGTTTTATAAAGTACGACCTAAATACAAGTGGACTTGCACATTTCAGTGTATAAGATTATATTTCATTCGTTTTATTCTACAAATATTGTATTTAAAGAAATATTGTTGCAATAAAGATACTCATTTGATAGGAAACGTTTTGCGAGTCTCTGCTAGTATAATAATAATGATAATAAATACAAAATTATAAAAATAGTATATTGAGCATTCTAACCAATACTGTTAATTGAAGTAACATTAAAGAAAGAATAGAGCGTTACTTGTGGAACAAATTTATTAAATTGTTTGAGTTTTTCAAAGTTTCAGTGTATATATCAAAATTCTATTATCATTATTATTAATTGTATAAAAACATGTACTTGACTATTTATTTCTGGTCTCGTACATGAGTAGGATTTTAAAAGATATATGTACATTTAGTTGTGCTAAAGAATGTTAAGTTTTTATTTTTTTATCAAAATTCAATTTCATGCCTACTGTTAAATCAACATATTTGATATTTAGGCCTAACAAATCAAGTAATATAGCTTTAGACTTTTCTAAGTATCACATATAGAAAAGTCTATTAAGCTTAAGTTTGGATGCAGGACTGTAGATTTTGTCAACTTCAACTTAAGTTGTTTCAGCGGTTTCTAAACAAAATTTGAAACATGTTGGTTTTGGTATTCATAATTATTTCAACTTTTGCTGTCGTTTTTATTACCAGAGATGCTGGATCCACATGCTTGAATATTTATACAAGTGAGTATGCAAATAAATATTTTGTAAAGTTTTAAAATATATAATTGGTTTAGCATTACTGTAGAGCCCTTACAAAGCAAATTGTTAAGGTAATTTTTATAACATACCTAAGGTACCTACAGAGAGCTTACACATTAAAAATACTTTAATGGGTTGTTATACATTGTTTTACAAGTGGGAGTAAAGGCACTGTGTTGAAATGATTTTAATGTATTGAAAGCCAGTTTTATGTATGTAATAAATATTAAAACACATTCTTTTCTATATAATTCTCTCTAAAGAAGGAAGAAACAATATTATTCTTTACATTAATTTTTATAGCTGCAGGTATTAACCCTCTTGCTACAAGTGTGTCAAGGTGTGCATGCCACAACTTTTTAGAGTTACTTTCCAAGTTTAATTGAGCTACTCTATTATCATTCTATATGAATAAACTTGGCATCAAAAACATAGCTAATAAATCAAATTTATGTGACAGTACCATACCTCTTCACACATTTAAGGTATCTACCCCATACATCTGCTTTAGAGATGTGCATGCCACTAGCCTTGAGGCAACTCCCACCTACTCGCGCACGAATTGTGCTACTGCATGATGACATAATCATATTGTAAAGCCCTCCACCAATAGGAGGGTGACACACCTCCATGTGCACTAACTTCCTTTATGCATTTGCACATGTGAATTTTCTTTCTTCTCCTCAGCACTGTATTGACCAGACATGTTTAAAATGTTTAGTCTGTATTCAGTTTCTGAGATTTTCATTATTAATGTAACTTTAATTTTCGTTTTCTTTAGCTTTGGTTTCAAAAGATTTAATTTTTATTGTGAATTCTCAAAAAGATGGTCATGTATATTTGGTCTTGAATGTGTAACATTGTTCAGAATTAGGCCTTATATTTTGTCTGTAGCTTTTGGAGGCTCATTGCCTCTCAGGATTATTACAGCCATTATTCACCGTATTGTGGATAACTACATGCTTAATTGGTCTCCTACTCTTGTCCTGTTGGCCAAATTTCTTTCTCAGCAGTCAGGAATGATCTATTGGACTACCTCTTTCACCTGATTTGCTTTGAGTAGTACTTTACCATTTGTGAGATGACCTTAACCCATTAACTGTGGCAGGAGCAGTTCAGTTGCCATTTTCTGACTCACAGATAAAACTGAGTTGCCATCAATCACAATAAAATGACAATTTTCGTCTTTCACATAGAGTTATAGTTATATATGTGTGAATGATGGAAATATCCATCATTTGCAGCTGAGCCATAGAATTTCAATGACGGAAATATCCGTCATCTGCAGTCAATGGGTTAATCTTTCAAATCTTTGTTCCTTTCCTTATCCTTTGCTTGTGTATGTTATTGGTAATTTTGTTTTCTCACCTTATCCCCCACTGTTCTTGGGGCTTATCTTGTTTTTCTTGCTGATTGTGTTTATGATTTATGCTGTTTTATTTTTCTAATATTTTTCTCCTACCCAAATGCCTTATCCCCCTCACATTCATGCCTCATTTGGTCCTGATTTATAGACTTGCTTCCTTTCCTTTTCTTAATTTTATCTTTGGTATATATCTGGCCAATTTAGGGTTCATTCCTCTTATCTTCCCTTTCACTTAGAGTTCCCCATTTTTGCATTTTCAATCTTTCTTCTCTCTGCTCTTCTGTATTTATGGATTCTGTAGGTACTTGTTCTCTTCTCTGTTTAGCGTGTTCCACTTCTTCTGCTTTATCCCTCCATACTTTGTTTCCATTCCGTGGTGTACCTTTCCACTTGGTGACTTGAGCTGCTGCCATTAGACTTCTGTCCTCAGTATCTTTCCAGGGTTTGTTTCCTCTTTCTTCACCTTGTCCTTTGCTCCTACACCTCATCCAGGTCTTTCTCCTTCTCACCTTCCCATTCCAGATTCAAAGCCTTCCTCTTTTTCTTGTATTTTCTCTACAGGTAGTCTGGTTCGTTCCACTTCTTATCAGTGAGTATCACACTTGTACAGTTCTTTGGGTATTTACATCTTCTTCTGCAGTTGGTCTCACATTCTGCTGACAGTCGTTTTCCTGCCTATTTACCCACCTTGGTCTCTTTATCTGCTCCGGTTCCCCTTTCCTTTTAACCTCGACCACATCTATGGCATTTTTCTCCAGGCCTGTGGTAGGCCATCGTTGATGTGTCAGATACCTTCCTGCATATCTTTCTTGGCCTGTCATCCCTTTGTTTTCTGAACTTCATCCTCCTTTTCCTATTCCTTGCTCTTCTCTTTGATTCAGTGTAAGCCTCTCTTATAATCCTTGATATCGTGTGAGTCTTTGCTTGCATTCTTTTTCTTTGTCTATTTCTTTCTGATATTCCATTCTGAGATGTTTTTCTCCTACATTCCTTCCCTCTTATGGCTTGTTTGGGGGGACTTATCCTGAAATGTATGTCCTTTCTCATACCCATTCAGTGTTTGGTGCTTTTGGATATTTCTTTTTCTCTTGTCTCAACCAAATACAGGCTATCTATTTTGCCAGTGAGCTATGACATACCTGGCCACCAGGTTTTTCACTTCTCATTCTCTTTCTGATTCCAAAACATACTTACTTCTGATCACACTACAGCTATTCCTCGACTACTAGGGTTTCCTTCCTTTGCTCATCTAAGCATTGGCCTGATCTTTTCTTGTTTGCTCCAGTCTTTTATTCCCCAGTTAATTGCCCTTGGCAATATGTGTCTCATGACACTCTCCACCTAAGGTAATGCACTCTATATCCTGGTATATCATTCAGATAATATTATCACTTTTTTTTTTTTTGACAAAAAGTTCACTAACAGGTTCCTCTGTACTACTGTTGATTCTTGTAAAAAAAAAAAAAAATCCATTGGGCAAGTCGACATACAGCACGAATTCCCAGATTGCTGTTTCTGGCACACAGGCAAATCAGGTCTCTCCTATTCCACCTCTGATATCTAGCACTGCTCAATAGTTGGGAGGCGGGGAAGTCATTCTCAGTTGAGGCTGTCTGTGACCTTATCCGTAGTTAAATGGAGACATGTATTTGATCTGGTGGTGTTTCTCCAGAGGGCTCTGAGGTTGTGGTTATGGGTGATCCTGGACATTCTGGAGAGGCCAATTTGGATCAAATTTGGTACACTGATAGATCTTTTCAACCTACAATTAGGAACCTCATTTGGTGTAAATATATGGAAAGTTATTCAACAAAAACCACTCATATTTGATGAAAATTTTTGTGCATGCTAATGTAAAATGTCACATGAGCTATTGATCTAACATTTTTACTACAAACTTCACCTGAGAGTAAAAGTGGACCGTTTTTAGTTTTTTATCATTTGGATTAAAGATGGCTGATTTAGAGCAACAAAAATATAAGGTGAAATGATGGGATGTGCAAATACATAACTATTGGTTAGACCAAGCAAACTAGGTTAGCAGTTTCTAGCTCAAGTTTTCAAAAGAATCATATGGGTGGACAGTTATTATTGATTAGTTACTGCAAGCTTTTCAGCACAAATTTACGAAAATTTATAAAATTATGCTAATTAAAGAGCATTTAGCATAATATGATATTAAGCAATTTGCATAAATAATGATGCTTGATAGGGCTGTTCTGAGTTCATGTGGGTGATGACAAGAAACTGTTAATCTAGGTTCCATGGTGTTATTATAAAGGAAGCTACTAACACTGTTTTACAAAGGAAAAACTACAACTATATACTTTAAAGAATCTACTTGGTTCTGTTACAAATAATAGGGTTGCAATCCTAAAGCTAATGTGGGTTACTGTTAAGTGTCACTTTCTTATTTGCTGTGGTTTGTTGGTGTGTATTGACAAAAAGTCATGTCTAATAAAAAAGCACCTTAGGTGGGAAAAAAGGTGTGGCCAAAAAAGGATTGAGTATGCGAATTAAAGGAATAAAATCAAAATTGGTGACCAAACAGGTAGCTACACTTATAGCATTGGTAAGAAATTTACAGCAAATATTTATTCATTAATTAGCTAGGCCACATATTTTGTTTTACCCACCATCATGCCCCAAGTAGAACAAAAACACAACTTGGCTAACTAATGAATGAATATTTGCTGTAAAATTCTTATCATTGCTATAAATGTTTTCACCAGTTTGGACATCTATTTTGATTTCATTCCTTTAAGTTGCACACTCAATTTGTTTTTGGCCACACCTTTTTTTTTTACACCTAAAGTGTTTTTGATTAGATAGATTCCACCCATAACCACAACGTTTCTCCACTCAGTCAGGATGCTGCTAGTGGTGGCAGTGGTGACTACTGTATGTCTGTGGGGGCTCGGTTCCAAGAATTTCTGGACATGTGGAAACCTTTACCACGGATTTATGAGTATTACAGGTCCTTCTGTCAGGATTAGTCATTCAATTCACATCACTACCACCATTATTCCCCAAACCTGTAGTGTTTTGACCTCTTGCAGATCCTTGGATTTTGGAACTTTGTTCCACGGCTATCAGAGATTTGTTGGTCAAGGGGCAGCGGAGACAGTCATTCCAGTTATTCCTGGGTTTTAATCCTGTCTATTTATTGTGCCTAAGAAGATGGGAGATTGGTGTCTAGTCATGGATCTTCCTCATCTAAACCAATTCCTAGATTGTCCAAAGTTCACAATAGAGTCATTTCTTACTATGCAGTTTGAGGTTGCTGATGCCTATCTACATGTTCCAAAAGCAGGGTCGTCCTGCCACTCTCTTTATTTTGTGCACAAGGATCAGATGCTGCAATTTAGGGTCTTGCCCATCGGACTAGCATTAGCACCATATATTTTTCGTCGAATCTTACAAGCTTTTTCTTGTCACTTCCATTCCCTAGGCCAGTGCACACACCATTACATGGACAACTGGTTACTGCTGGCAGAATGTCACACCCAGATTCTACTTTCAGTAGCAATCAAGGTAGGCTTTATTAGCAGGGCCGAGAAATCTGTTCTCACTCTAACTTAATATATCATCCATCTGGGTGTCTTTTTTAACACAT